ACATTCATTGTTTTTCTTGTACCGGAAGATGAGATGGGTGTCAGCAGCTGTTCCGACTGTCATCGTATCAGATCGACCGGACACTCCCACTGTTTAATTCCTGTGAGCTCCGGACCCACTCCTGGTGCGTGCAGCGCTGAGTAATGCGTCACATTATCAGATCATTATGACGTCGACGAGGGTCGCGAGTGTCATCTGTGAGCCAGCCCAGCCACCAAGAGCTTCGAACCCACAGCCGTCTGGAGTCATGCGGCAGTCCATCTTCAGAGGTTGACAGTCGCTTAGCTGGTCAGTAAAGTCCCGGTTCAGAAGTTCATTCATTGTCTTGTTCACAGGACGAATTCAACCCAGTTCACACCCCTCTTCCTTCATCCTATTTAATATTATCCTTCATTGTCCGAGTATTTGCCTCTGCTCTTCGGGGCTTTGCACTGAACTTGTGTACGGATTTTTCCAGTGCGTGCTACATGCCCAACCCATCGCATGTTCCTTGATTTGGACGGATATTTGGTATGAAGAACCAATGAACCGAACAGACTGAGCTTCACGCTTTCACCTGATGACAGAGCCAGAATCAACTTCCGAAACGTCGTGTCTGTATGCCCTGTATTTTCCTTTGAGAAGTTTCAGCTGTGAAGGAAACTTTTCTTAATTTCCAGACTTTGCCCCTTCATAATACGTCTTAACCAACGTTGAATTCGATTTGATATCGTCATTTCTCGATGCCAGTAATCATCTTCGTATCTGTCACAGGTCATTGCTGGCTGATGGCGCGCGTGTCGCAGGTCTGCAAGATGGGTGAATCTGTTCTGTGGATGGCACTTTCCTGTGGCGACCGATAAGATAGCTAGCTCTCAAGGGCTTCTGAAAGGATGTATCAAAGTGCTGCTGCTTTCTATTTGCATTGTTTACTGTGACAGATGTTGGCCCCTAAAACCTTGGCGCTGCTCCAGGGAGCCGAAGATTACACTTAAGTTCCAAAGACCGAGACGAACTTTAGCTACTATCCTGGGAACAACCACGAAAAACACTACCCGGTTGACTTGTGTTCCTGCCAAGATTTGAAAGATACAATTTGATTGCTATTAAATACCAGTTTCGTTTCAGAACACGTTGTACTGCATTTAGACGTAGTGGAATCACAACAGACGTTGAAAGTGTTATTTATGCCGAAGATGAAGGCAACAGGAGCGGGAAGTGTGCAGTTCATCATCTTCTTTGCCTGAAACGGGGTGTTCTTCGGCACGTAACGAACATTTTGAATGGCTTTAAAAACGTTAAATCTTCGTTGTTTTGTTTGACGAGGATTCAAAATTTCACGCGTCTTCTCGGCCCGGATCTGACGTCACGACTGACTGCGTCATACTTCACGGCTGCGTGGTGTGCACATCCGGTACACAGACGGGGTCATCACTGATGCATCCTGGCCGTGCGATATGGGAGGCGGTGCGACCAGGGTCCCGGAACGAACGACAACGGACGGGTGGAAGGACAGAGCTCTTCGCCTTGTCCGCTGACCGTTGGGCTCGTGAAATTCCCATGTCGGTAGCTCCACGTACGCCCCCTTCCATTTTATAATGCAATGCTTGCCTGATAATGGAAAGGGTTGTTCACTGCTTATCCCGATGTGTCGCAGTCGAGGCAGGGAGTTCGTTGAACAGAAGAACATCACCTTCATCGCAGGATTCTCCGAAACGGATAACGTTTAATAGTATCACGCTGTCTGACTCGGCATCTTCTCATGATGTTCCCCCGCTCTTTACAATATACGTTTCTCATATGATCCACGACATACGAGCCCGATTTTACTTCATTTCTTCACTGTAACAACACCGGGCGAAAGATAGGCCTTGTGTTATCACATTTCGTGTTTCTTTTGTTATCAGAAACCTGGTTTTGTCTCCTTCCTAACCCATGAATATTCCCGATGCAGACATTCGCTTACCTGACGCTGTTTCCGTGGTTTTGCAGTTGACTGTTGCCACGGAAACGCGTTTAAACAAAGAGATCACTTATTTATCACTGAGATTGCGGGATGAGTCGTTTGTTATACTTTCAGGCAAATCTAGTCTCGTCTTTTCCTTACACTTTTTGTTCCAAAGTCAAACTTGTTCGCTGCAAAAACAATATTGTTTTTCGTTTCGTGAACAGACGACATAACGCCACTAACCTGACATAGACAGAGTAATGTGCAGGTCAGATTTAGAGCAACACCTTCGTCTCTTCAAAAATTACTGAGTCGACGTAAACGTGCAGTTGAATCTCTGATACAAAATTGCGTCGTCAGTTGATTTCTATAAAGTCCCCAAAATTAAATTTACGTCAGTTTCCGCGCATGAACGCACCGCGGAGATGTGAAGCCTCGTGACCACTCCTGACAGACAGACAGACAGACACTTATTTTCTCCAGTCGCTTCGTTTTCTTTACTTTTGTGTTTCCTTCTGAAGATAAATTAGTTCAGTGTACTAGAATGCGCTGTGTGTTGCTGAAGAGCACCATCTCGTCTGATTACAGTTATTGTAGACTTCAGATTGCTGTTGAAGGCGTCAGGCACTTTCTGCAACCAAAGGCGACTCAGAAACTTCATCTTTTTGTTCCACTCACCAACAAATGATGCTAATAGAAACTGACATCTAACGTTCTAAGAATCTGCTACTAAGTTTGTACAAATTTCTTCTGCCAGTGGTAACCGGCCTGGTTATCACCCTTCGTATCTCGACGTAAATTATCTAGAAGATTAACAACTGCCTTGCATAAAGTTCAGAAGTAAATTGACGTTCCAGAAATTATATTTTTAACACGGAGCGGTATGCATTACTATACAATGCCGACTAGAGCTCCGTTTATCGGCCACCAAGGATAATTCTCATCTGACGTCTTACGAAGGACTATTCATCCTTGAAGGACCCGCCGATAATTAAAGCTGGAAGATATTACCGAATGCATCCTGATTGTCCCTCGACCGTTGACTGTTTTAAGGACCCATGTCGATTCAAAACGAAAGGCCACGGTTTCGGGTCCGTTCCGCGACGGTGGACATACTGACGGTTAAAGGGGAGCATCCATAACGCACGACAGCGAAGGGGGGAGACGTATCTTCCTGCACACCGGATACACTGAGCCCTAGGGGTGACCAATTTCTCATGCCTTAACCCCACATTTTCATAACGAATTTCTGTTTTCGCATGGACGTTTCCTGTTTCACACAGAAATTAAAAGATTGTCTTTTTTTTTTTTTTTTTGGATTGAGGCCGATTAAAAGACTTGATATTATTCGGGTGATAAAATGAAGTAGGATGGGAAGGTGATGAGTGCTCGTTTGTAAATGGATCGAGCCCGACTCGATGTAGTTAATTCGTCCAAAACTGCAGTGGTAACGCGTCTCTCACCTTGTAGGATGTTCGGGAGGTCCGTGGTTCGGTAACGTGATAGTCATTTGTACCGACGAAGGTGTGACTGACGCAGAGGCCATCAGCCAAAGCGATCCTAACAGTTCTGGGTTCAAATCTCAAAGAGTCGTCCAACACAAAATCCTTTTCACGAAGGACAAGTCGCCTGGTTAAATAATTTCCCGTTGAGGTTGGTTCGCACTGTGGGGCAGGACAGGGACGCGTTTTGACAGTAGTTCATTAAATTATACTTTTTTTTCCCGAGAGATCAGCCTCCAGGTATCACGAAAAGTGAAACGTATTTCTTATCAGGTCTGACCCAGGGTGCCCTGTCCTGGACCTGCGTTTTGTCCTCTCCATAAGATGCTTTAAAGGATGGTTTTTACGTTCGGTCTAAAATGGCTTGACCCCGATCTGATTGTGTTCTGTCACGTGGTTTGAATTGGCCTTAAGCGTGAGGAATGATGCAACTTAGGTAGGGGTGGTCTTGCGCTTGCGCAGAAGTAGCCCGTAGTGTCTTTCGAGCTGGTTTGTTCGCTGCCCCTCATTCGGTCTCGTGTCTGCGCTGGATGTCGGTACATTGAGGTGGGGCTCTAGATTTTATCGGCAAGTGAATTGACTGCTCGTGTCTTCGTCGACAAGAATTGTCAGTTTCTCTCCACTGTCATTAATTGACTATTTCTCGTTGACAAACGCAGTGACAAAATGCTGACAGCCAATCAACAGTGTGTCTTGTGCCCGCAGCTTGTGAAGGATCAGTGTAACACTCTTTTAAAAAAGCGATCGCCAAAGAAATGCCTTTTCGAATCTGACCCAAAGGAAACTCGAAGATTGCTTGAAGAGCTTCTTGAAGAGCAGTTCTTGGCGGATAGAGAATTGATGCTTCGGAAATACAATTTCGATATTCTGACGTCCACATTCGTTACGAACGTGCGTTCTGCCCCAGAGCGAGAAAAAGAGACGGGATCAAAACTGCAGGATTTCCGTTACTACAGGCAACAACAGATGACGCAGCGGAACAAAGTCGTTTCATTTCGGAGTCTGAGGTTCGACATCGACCAGGAAAAGACAGTCCCTACAGGAGGCAGACGAGAATTACAGGTAAGAGTCCTTGCTTCGATCTCTGTAAGGTTTCTCTTGATTGAAGCGTGACTGAGCTCAGGACATGTTCGTAGTTTGTATCAGAGCTGTTTGCAAGGAAAGCAGCTTGGTGTTCTTCCTAATGCGTTACGCATGATGCAGTCGGCGAATGCGTGACAAATTGAAATTAGCCAGCAATTAATATAATTGTTTTAAATGGACCGACTGATTTATTTCCGAATTGTTTCCAGCAAAGAGCAACTTGCTGTGTTCTGTCTTAAGGCGCTCTGTACAAAACCTGACCTTGACAAGTAGCTTGTATTGATTGGCTACTTTCTTGACACTACTGAACGAAATTTAATATGTTCTTATCTTCGTCCTTGGAGATTATGACGTCAGTGATGTACGCTGTAAGTTGATTATATCGCGTAAAACAAACATCTGATAAAAAAAACACTCGCGTCCCGCAATTTTTTGGCAGCGACGATGAAGTTTTTCATACATCGACGAAACAGCGGATGGGCCTTATTAATGGAGGGGGTGGGCTTGTGCTTCGCCTTCAGCCACCCCCTCGAAATCTCTGTGATAACGTGAAAAAGTTTAAAATTCACGCAATTCTCCTGTACTCAGCATCTAACGTTTCTATGTTTACGGGGAAACCCCGCCCTCCCCTGGCCGTCGTGAAGTGTCAGCGTGTTGCTAAAGGTGGCATGACGGGACAAAATATTTGTTACCGGGAGTTCACTTGTAAATTTGGTTAAAGAAACTCGCTTATTGGTTTTCTGAAACTTCGGAACTGCTGTTGGACGTTTCATGAGCTTGCAGTGTTTCATATTGAGCCTCTCAGCCATTTAGAAACGAAAAGAAAAGAAAACTACGTTCTGTATGACGATCGAGCTTCGAAGTACTTCAGTCACCAAATCAGGGTCCGGTGGACAGTTGCAAGATTTGCCCCTGTGGGGAGTGATTGGTATTAAACAGCTAAAGCTGATGAGATGTTCGTAAATACTTCTTGGGGTTCCGAAGTGGTTGTGTGACAAACATTTGGTTCTATAAACGACCGTCCCAGAAGCTGGAAGTTACTGTTCAGTTGCTGGGTGTGAGGAGCGAAGTGTTATCAAGCAGGAGGACGCATTTAGGGAGGAATGAATTTCAGCCACAGCACAGAGACGGCGCTCCTAGCAAATGGAACGCCGTCTCTGTGCTCTGAGGTGATGGTTTGCATACCCTCGAAGGATAAAGCCCCCCGACTTCTGTCCGATCGTTTCCAGTTCACTCCATAAGATGATTTTTTTCTTTTAACTACGCACTTCGTTATGCGAACGAACAAACGAACCAACGAAGGAAAGGCGATGGAATAAAAAGACACAGAACAGATACATAACGTAAAGGGGCAGAGGCCTTATTGAAACGCTAGTAGTCGCCTATCGGGTTAAGAAATTGCCGCTGTTTGTATGAAACCTGAACGTTCCTTACCGTGTTCACAAGACCGTGTCGCTGCCCCCTACCCGGAGCCAGATGAAACCCCTCCACACCCTCACATTATGTTACATTGGCGTCCATTTTAATATTATTCTTCAATATGCACCTTTCTCAAGTAATTTATTTTCTTCACTCTCCCGTGATAGTTGGAAACCAACAGCTGGAGAATGTGGAGCAGTTGGCATAATCACGACGGATGCTGTATGCACCAAGGAGATAAAAGCAAGGATAGCCATGGCCTTCGTCAAGAAGAGGATACTTCTCACTAGCAAGTTGGGCTTGGAGATGAAGAAGAAACTAGTGAAGTGTTACGTATGGAGCAGAGACTTGGACACTCAGGAAGAAGGAACAGAAATACCTGGAGAGTTTTGAAATGTGGTGTTGGAGAAGAATAGAGAAGATCAGGTGGACGGATCGAGTGACCAACGAAGAAGTATTGAGGAGAGTCAAAGAGCAAAGAATCATTCTGCAGGCGATTACACGAAGGAAAGCTAACAACTGGCTGGGACATATTATGAGAAGAAATGGATTACTGAGTGATATCACCGAAGGCCAGGTTGCGTGCTGCATGCCCCGCCTCGCATCCTCGTTGTGCACCTGCCACTGTGGTCCTTTCTTCTTCAGGACGTTGTTATGGAAACAAACGGAGGACAATGGATTCTGCGTCCGCTCGTCTGTTATGGTCGTGTCGTGTCCGTCCAATCCATTAAATTCGAGAAGGATTTAGATGAAATTTTAATGTGTATCGTGATTTCGGGAAACGAATCCTGGTTGGCCAGCCCAAAGCCTAGTCGGTGCCCTGAATTGTTCAATAAAGTGGCGTCTCGTTGAATTGACGGTCCCGGGACAGTTGAGACATCGATGACCTCTTAAAGAGAGCTGTAAGTGAACAAAGAACACGGGAATAAAGAAGTTAAGATTTCGCGGCGACTGGAGTTGATGAAGGACTCGGGTGCTCTTGGTCTTTCAGAACGGAGTCCGTGTGCAGAGATTAGATTTGCATGAAGTAGAGCGACGACCACCACCAGAACACACAAAATAAATTGGTCAGTGAAGGTTATGCAAATAAATGTTGAAGAACGTGTCTTAAGAGCGTAAGAAAGGAGTTGCTATGCTATTTAGGGACGCTGCATCAGTTGTAAAGGACACTGAGGTGTGTCCACGCGATCTTCGTACCCACTAATTCTGTTGGATACCAAATTTAATCGACAGCAGAGGCACCACCCAACACGGCTTCGCAGTAGCAAGTGTTTCCGGAGTTTAACATGTGAAAGTAATTTTGATCTGTTTTAATAGTATCACGCGCATGTATCGACAGAGCTGTGCTCGTACCAAGGCTGCGTTGTCAGGGCCAGTCCGAAATACGATGCTTACACACAACCTTGGTTTCTCGCGCCAAATTTTCGGTGTCTCGGCTATACGCGTTGCCAACCGAACGAAGGTCACGTGGTTAAACATCGTCCAGGTCCACGCGCTGGTGTAAACAAATTCATTACAAGTCGTTAATGAGTTTCGGCCGTTATTACGCAATGCCATCTTCTGTGTCTGGCCGTGGTAAGTGGGTTTGTCACAACCCCAGGAGGAACAGTGTGGTTGCGATTTACCAGACGTGCCTTGGACACATTTTTCGGCCCGGCAGTAACATATGGAAGGATAATATTAAAATGGATCTTAAAGAAATTGAATGTGAGCTTTCGGACAGGTTCCAAGTGGCTCAGGATTGGGTCCATTGACGGATTTCTGTGAACACGACGCAGAAACATTGGATTCCATAGAGGAAGGGTGATTAATATCTGTCAGCACCCTGTTCCTTGGAGTTGGCTTAGTTAAATGGTGCTCGTCTTGTGCTTGACAAGCCGTGGATATTGTCATGTTCTAAATGCTCCGAATTCCGCTCCTCGTATGCATCTTCTGGTACTGACGCACTGAGATACGTAGAAGGCTGTGAAATTTGCTACAAAAAAAAAATTACACAAACTTACGGGCTTTAACGAACTTGAGAGTTCATTTTACAGCAGACAGAAGTCTGAAAATATTTATTTTTCTATCTCTGCCTCTTTAAATCCTTTCACGCACCTCCGGTGGTACGTGCAGCACACTTTGGGAAACACTGATTTGGATGACCTCCGGCTACGAAGGGTCAAAGATTTGATAAGTGTCTCATCTGCCAATGCAGACTGTAAGCCGTAGGTCAAGGCAGCTTTATCGCGATGGCCCCTCCATTTCCGCATTTCTTGCTTGGGTTGCGTGAATTTGTGCCGAATAGGCTTACCTAGGACTTACCAACGTGAAGTGCGTTGTGACTGGCTCACTCCTAGGTTATTTAGTCAGGATGTAGTGTCATAGTCATGAATACGAAGTGGGCGGGGCATACGAGCAGGCGGTCGTGGACGATTTTAAGCTGCAGAAACCGAGAAAAATGTCAGAGATAACTGAGCCGATATTTGGAACGGGCGCCTTCCGAACGCAGATCAGCAGACCGCCTTATCCAGTGACGACTGATTCCTTCTTTATTATTATTATTATTATCATCATGACTCAAATTCGCTGGCGAGTGGTTATCACTCCTGCACCAGTTTCAAATCACTTCCTCTAAACCTACTGTCCTTAGTTGTCATGATTTTCCTCAGTCCCTTCAGGCATGTTCCTGTATCGTAACTTAAATTAGGCCATGACCACCCTTCGTTGCCCTTTTCAGTGTAATATTCATTAATTGTTCTTTCATCCGGCGCATAGACCAATTAAAACCTGCGTTCAATAAACCAGACTTTGTGGTTTCGTCCTACTTCTCTTTCGGCTGTCCCCTGTCCGAATCTGCCTGTGAACTTGGAACAAAGAGAATCTCCAATTCGCATGGGGAAGTATGTGTGTAGCAGAGGTACCATTTCACAGTGTTATCGCTCGTCACGTGACGGCTGCTGGCAGTTTAGAGATAACGGACTTTTAACACAACGAATATTAAAAACCTCGGAAATGTGAGTCTGTGACGTCATTGTTCATTCGTGATCCACTGACCCGGATTTTTCATCAAAATAAAATACATAGTGAAACTGGATGGTAGTTAAAATGTCTGCCCCTAAGATCACCCAACAGCGCAATATTGAATCCTCAAGATCCCGGCACTGGTTAAATCTGGGCCACGCCCTCACACCACTTTTATCAATTATCAACCTTATTATTATACTTCCACCTACACCTAGGTTTTCCAGGTGGTTTTCGCTACGTATTTCTCATCTACCCATCTGCCCATCTCCTCCTTGGTTTGAGAGGAAGAGCGAGTTAGAAGCTTCGTCTCATCCTCGGCCTTCGTCTCAGATAAGCGTTATTGACGGGACGTCACAAGCGACAGCTAATGTCGCCATTAGCATTGTTTTATTTTACACGACAGCTGAAGACTGATGGCGCATTGCCTCTTCCGTGTTACTAACGAGAGCAGCTGAATGCAAAAGTTGGGACCCGCAATGAATTTATTATAAGCTGCAGCGAATACAGATGGCATTGCGGGCGGTGCCGTCGTTGGCCTGCCGAAGAAAGTCTCGTACACAAAGAAACGCAGCTTTGACCTAGTTTGGTATCTGGAAGGTAACTATCGCTCCCTTTCCGATCCGGCGGTGAATCCCATTCATTACAAACATTCGTTCACGATCTTGGAATGTGATACATTGTAGTTGAATGAGCGATTACATTTTTGAAGCCTGAAGTTTTCTAAATAATATTTAATATTTCATGTAGGATTTGAGATTTTCACGGCGGTGAATCTGGGTGGTTGCGCCGTGTAGTCTGGTAATGTTTACCGACGTTTCGGAGGTCCTTGCTGCCCCCATTATCAGGGCTGCTATCAGACTACACGGCGCAACAACCCAGAAGACAGTCATCTTTGAGATTTAAGTCCGTGCCTCAAAGAAAACACCACACTTCACCATTGCTAAGATAATTTAACACTTAAATTGTTTATGTGGGTATTATGCAGAGTTACAGAGTAAACATAGCCGTCACTGGACTATTAGAGGGTTAGAGCAGTTAATGGCGTCTCACAATTTATTGTTTATTAATTCTGACAAGAGAAAACGTCGATGTGTTGCGTCATATTGCTGTCAACAAGTGTTTCGGAGTGCGGGCTCGTCATCGGGGAGACTCGGAGCGCCCTTCTCCTGCAGAGTGATACCGCCCGCATGCGTCCTGCGCAGGAGAAGTTTGCGCCCCTGCGTGAATCGATGAGGGTGCCACACACAGCCACGTCAGTCCGCAAGTTAATTTAATTGATTATCTTGAAGGCTCGGGTTTCCTTCCTGGGGTCAGGGGGTCACGTGAAATGAGTTGTAAAGATGCGTCTGAGGACATCCAAACCGCAGAGAGTCTGCCAGATGCACACGCGTTATGAACGTCACGTGCAAGAGAGTAGCTTATATGCGTCTATATGACAGTGAAACTGAAAATGTTAGGAAAGTTCAGTTTCTGTGAAGTTTGAAGGAATTGAATATGGTTGGCGGATGAAAACGGGAGCGTCACAGTCGTTCCGTGTTAAATTGTGACGCGACTGTGCGCATGTTGAGGACTTGTTTCACGAAACGCGGGGTGTGTCAGCGTTCTGTTTACGCGTTGCCAAAGTACAGAAACAGCACCTGGATAGGGGTTGGGGCGTGCATCTGTGTGTCCGCGTGGTGACGCTAGCATTGTCAGCCTCAATCAATAACATGACATTATAAAGCCATCCCCATGATTGCTGATAAGACACGAAAAACACGTTACGTTCATTTTCAGAAAAGAATACTTCCATTATGGGATAAAAACGTTGTCGTACTTTGTGTTGTGGGTGACACTTAACATGCTCGGGGGTGGGGGCATTATCAACAACGTGGGGTGAGCAACGCGTGTCCTTTTAAACGCAGTGACGTGTCGGGTTTACAAACAGGTGGCCGCTTATTTGAGTTCAAAACTCTGCACAGTAGCTGACAGTCAGCTACGTCTGTCTTAGTTGTAGATCACAGCCAATACATAGTCCACACTACAGAGTCCGTTTTGAAAAGTTGATCAATGTTAGCTTAGCTTGTCCTGAGCCAGATTAATCCAGTTCACGCCGCCGTCCGTTACAATGCTGAAACCTGGTTTCACCAGCTGTTACTGACGTGTGACCTTGTTTCCAGATTTCTTTCGAGCAATGAGGAGTGATAACCAGGGCAAGAGGACGTCTTCTACAGAGATCGTCGCGTAGTGGCCGTCGCTGACACCAGAAGCAGCCAATCAGCCTGTCCGTAACAGTTTGTGCTGCTGAAACAAAAATCACTTAAAATATCAAATTACTGATTTACGTTTCGTTCCGTGTGAGGAAAGGATGTTAAATATTTACTAGAAAAATTAAATATGTGTAAATAGCTAGAATTGTATGGCCTGTAAGAATGGTTCACTGGTTCAATATCCTATGTGTTCAGGGTACGATAATGTGAATATTAAAATGTTATGCTTATTGTGATTATTACTATTATTTTTATTGTATTTTTAAAAAAAGTATATGGGTGTCGTGAACAAAACACCGATTTTTAAGTTGAAATGTCGTTAAAAAAAGAGTATATGGGTGTCGTGAACAGAACACCGATTTTTAAGTTGAAATGTCGTTAGGACATTCATTTTACTTTCTCATATGCAAAGTCTGAAAAAATTGATATATCGTAAGATATAATTCTTGCCTCCAGCGCAGTAAACATAGATTTATGAGTGTACTTTCGATACTTACCAATCGATTGTAATCTAATATATTATAATATCCATTGCAAGACGAACACAATTCAGTTTTTATGTTCTGCAATATTTTTATTATTATTATTTTAATAAAATATTTAACGTAGTCATGCTAACTGCCAAAGGTACAACGGGAGGCCACTTACTGCGTACTTATTTGTGATAAAAAATAGAACAGAAAGCTGCGGGTTTCGTTGGCAGGCGAGGGAGGACCTGCACTAGACATCTCGAAATTCTAACATCAGTGCAAGCAGTTACAGGCAGCTGTGTGCTTTTCCCATGCAAGCAGTGACTGGTGTAGGCTAGTAAGAGAATTTTAACAGATAATGCAATCTCACGGATATCTGACTTGTCGTCATTAACGCTTTTCTTAATTATCATGTGTGTCGTGACTGAGTAGAACCACGCATCACTGCTGGCTTCGCATTTTACGATGTTGCAGGCATAGTTTTACATGCACAGTTTAGGGCGTTCCTCGTCAGTGTGCTTGGAGTTTTGGTGGACACACACGGAGGCCCATCGTATTCTTCATTTATGTTGGGAAGCCATCTTGGCTCCTTCTGGGGTTTACCCCTCTGTCCTGTGCTTTGTGTTTCATTTTAAATCAAAAGTCGGCCGACCCTGATTTCTGTCGCACAGAACCAGCTAGGGGTATTGATCGGTGGTAACGTGGCCATTTCACGTACAATTGACCTCATGGTTTCTGTCGGAAACTCTCAATTAAAAGGGCGAGTTTTTCCATGCGTAACTGTTGTATTCTTAAACGACGGAGATTTAGTAGGATTTGAAGTTTTCACGGCTGCGAGGCCGAAGATGGATCTTTCCTGGGTTGCAACGCCACGTAGTCTGGTAGAAGTTTATCGACGTTTCATATGTAAAATTAGGCCTACCTGTAAAACGTCGGTAAACTTTACAACCAAGAAAAAGCCATCTTCGATATACTGTATTCATTCATTCTTATAACTCTTCTCCCTGAACTCCGTAAATTATATGGGCCCCAATAATCGATACCGAATTGCAATATTGATGTCTGCGGTATTTTATTACGCCGATATCTTTGCAGTTAACGATATCGATACATATTTCCATCATAGTTATAACACAACTTTAATATTAATGTGTAACAACTGTTACAGAATATTTGTACAATTATGAAAATGTTAACTGTAATTTCTTTTAATGTTTAATATCTAGTCGAGTGATCTCGTCATGTATTCTGCCAGTCTGAAGTGACCTTAGTCTGAAATTGTATTTCTTTTACATCACAATAAAGAAAGTTACAAATTACAACGTGTCTTTGTCTGTTCTTAATGTACGACTGTGTCAGTATGAATTCGCAACCAAGTTTCAACTCAACATTATTCATTTTGCTTAAATTTTGTTTAATTTGGGGGGGATTTAAAAGTATAGTTTCCAATCTCGCAAAAAATTTCGGTCGGCGTGCCATATGTTTCTACCAAAAAGTAATTGCTGGAGGTTTCCTGTGCACTTACGTGTTAGTGTTTGTTCTGCGTTGAATCCATAGCTATTCCATAATCCTTTTAAACTCACTGGTAACTATGTGCACCACTAATTGTGCATTTCCCCCCTCTCAGTGTTACATGTTTCATACGATTCTCAGAATAAATAACAATTGTTTCCCTAAATAGCGTTGACCAAGCTGGTCGATGTGTTTTCTTTGAGGTACGGACTGAATTTTAAAATATGGATTTCAGAGGCTTGTAAATTATACCCCGCTAGATTTCAAACTTTTATGTCCCTGGACAAAAGGCAGATTCAAAACACGCCTCTTTAATGACGTTCCCAAGGCTGCGTTGTCCAATGTCCTTGTTTCGTTGTACGGCTGGGGTGTGGCCCGAGAATTAAAATTTGTGTTGCAGTTGCTGACCTCCCAAAAATTTTCCTTACATGCAGACTTTAAAGTAAGATTACACTTCCGGAGTGACACATGACGTCATCGGAAGTGGATATGTTCCTTTGAGAGTCTCCGATTACCGCATCCGGTGCTTACCGCTTCCTCGTCCGAAGCCTCAAGAGTTCCCCGGAGGGGGGAGGTACCTGTTCGTACGTGTCACAGATGATGCCCCCCCTCCCCCCGTTAAGTATCGAGTGACTCACGTCTTCTATAAAATTTTATGGCCTCTAAAACGTTAGGTTTCCGTCCGGAGAGCTGAAGTGGATGTGATAGATGCGTGGACCGTCAGCTGATCGTAGCCTTGCGTGTGTTATAAAAGATGTCGCTTCTCAGACTCACTCTACGAAGGCCTCGTGACTGCGAACTCACAGCTTTAGAGTATAAAAAACTGCACTTTCTTGCACGAACCAAAAATAAATATAATTAGAATGTGAACCGAGTGTTTTGCGTGATTCGATTTTCATCAGAGACACACAAATCGGTCTTTACGCCCAGGCTGATTCTGGACCCTGAAAACACATTCACGTGTAGGCATTAATCAGTTCTTGTGAAGTGAGTTACGTTTTTAGCCATGTAATGTTCAAGTTCTGTAAGATTAATAATTAACCTGGTGGCCCATTTTAATATTATTTTACGTTTACGGATTCCTACTGCGTTAAATGTAATACATCCTCATTGTTTCGCGCCGTCGCCATGTTTTTGTTACTAAAACAGATGAGACAGTGCGAGCCGCCATCCGTTTGATGACACCGGCAACTTTTCAGCGTTGTCACTAGGGTGAACTGTAGTCTCATTGAAGCCAGATATTTGAAATTTAAATTGGCCTATTTATTGTGTTTCTGATACAGATAACGTAACAGGAATCAATTCTTTCTGCTGCACAAGTGTTAGGTCCTTGAAGACCTTGGACGCCTCGCACACGTGAGGTTACTTGATCTATTTATACGCTTCGTAAGACTCCTTCTGGGGTTAATTTAATTGTTAGTTTGTGAATGGAGAAGCGGAGAATTTCTGAACAGCTGAACTGCTATCAGCTTCTCCATGGAGTTACGTAATCCTGCAGACCTGTCAATGATGAGAGCACGTTTTGTCGCGTGGTGGATAAAACGCTCCGAACTGCTTGTAACGTGTGTGACCTAACAATCAGGCGGTAGTGCAATTTGCTTCAGACCTGGAAACAAGGAAGGAGGAAGTCGCCCCGGACTGGCCTTCGTGCAGTGTCCTTGCTGACTGCACATGACCTTTTGACTAAATAGCGTCACGGCGGATACAAACATGGCTGGCAGGAAGTACACCAGATTAAGACATCTGTCATGTTGTCATTTCATTTCATTTTTTTTAGCAGAATTTGCTTCTGTTCCGGGACCGACGTCGCCGACAAATGCGATTGTCGTGTACAGCCCGGATTAAAGGCAGGGATCTGAACGCACAGCGACAGACATTATCTGACGCCACCTTCTTCCGATAACATTTACCCTTTGCGGTCTCTGTCTAACTTAAATATCCGAGTTCCGGTCCGATGTCGGACTGAGTCCGCCACGTATTTTACGAACTTTTGCGTGATCTGGAGTCAAACTGAGGCTGGCATATTATTCTATCCTAGTCTTCCTGGTAAGACTTCGTGTACCCTATACTACTGAAAGGGGCAGGAGAGAAAGTCGTCTTATTCGGACACGTATCTAAAGGAAGCCAGGATTCCACACCAAGTGTTTTGCCACACATCATATAGAGACGTAATATCATCGTGTGTGTCGCTGTGATATTTACTTAGAAGTGTTTTATATTTGATAAAGTTATAAAACAAATGTCCCATCTTCCTAATTGGAAATTATTTTTTTTAATTATCTTTGTCGCATAGAGCAATCTACCGCTGACATGTGCATATCGTTTCGTCTTCCTATCAAGCATTCTTTGTGTGTAGTGACTTCATCGTTTACAATTCGCGTTCTGTGTCACTTTCCTGGTGTTGAACTAGGTCTTGATCTTCCGAAAACAATCAGCGCGAAAGGTAGCACAGCTCTCAGAATATGAAACCCAATGCTTATGCATCATATATCTCCGTGTAATACGAGATGTTAGACGTCGCCAAAGTCCAATCCATCGACTTGGCTTTGATTTATTCTCTACCAAACGGCAGGAATCAGAAAGGCGTCATTTATTGCACATCTCACTAGCGACTGTGGTACAGTCCGTGAAAAATATTGCACACGGTCAGTATTCAAACAAAAGGAACTGTGATCCTCTCAGAACATATTTTCACCATACTTAGCAAAGTTTCTTCCATTTAATGCAAGTTAAAAAGAAAATGAAAACAGTTCATAATAGTAGTTCAATGTATACAACTTAGTGGCATTTAAATAGAGCTGCATAATTTAAAATGGATCGCAAAGGGTTAATGTTGCACCGCGAATTTTAACTTTGTTGTTCTTAAGTCATTACGTTATTGTCAGGCGTACGCATATTGTGGCGGAAATGACGCTGCATCATCTATAAAGGTTATATTTTGTCAAATGCAATAAGAAGATGACGATGGTTCGCGAGTGGATGTGGTTTTGGAAGGAGGCGGTTGTGACCTGTTTGAAGGAACCGTGAGAATGTTCGCGTGGAGAGACTGAGGAAAACCACGAGAAATCTTGATCATGAAAGCCGGCAAACCAGCTGTCACTGCGAAGCAGACGTGCTCATTCATGAAAGGAGTTTTGCTAAAAAGTGATCGCTAACCAAAGCGCTCGTTGCTTCGTTTAAAGAAAGAGCTTGCTTATTTACGTAATATGACAGTTAGGCCCGATCCCATCTGCCAGTTTAATGCCTATCGTCGGTTCACCGCTTAATGAATT